TTTTTGTTTTGGTGGGGTGGGGGGTACTGGGGATTGAACTCAGGGGCTCTCTACCACTGAGCCACATTCCCAGACCTATTTTGTATTTTATTTAGAGAAAGGTCTCACTGAGTTGCTTAGCACCTTGCTTTTGCTCAGGCTAGCTTTGAATTCCCCATCCTCCTGCCTCAGCCTCACAGCTGCTGGAATTACCAGTATGTGCCACCACACCAAGTTCTTTGTCTCTTTTTGTCTCATATCCTCTATATGATACACACATATTAATATAATTCTAAATAAAACATGAAAATCCTGATGGCAAAGAGGGGAAGCAGTAGAGGTGACAGAATAATTTAAAATACTGAAAACTTAATATTGCCATTTCTGAATCGTTCTATCAATAATCAAATCTACCTACCCTTTAAATGAAAGAAAAAAACACTGGATGAAAAAAAACCTGTTAGTGGTTCTGCATCCTCAACCATTTTTTTTAACCCTAAATCTTTCCTTATAGATTTCATTTTATAAAACATATTAAAAGGTATAATTGCCTGAGAATGTTTCTTGTCTAAAACAAATAGCACTAACACATTATTGATTCCAAAGAGGAAATCCTATTGCTTTTTATTTCATTTGTTAATGAGAACAACCAATTTTCTAAGTTTAAGAAAAAAGTATTTATTGTTTATTTGTATCTATTTATTCATCATGTAAAAGCTTTTTAAAAGCTAAAAAATTCAACAACTAGCAAGAATGGTTATTAGAACATGCATTTGAAATAGATCCCCAGGGTATAATGAATGCAGCTTATATTCTGGGAAAATGTGAAGAGTCATTAATTCATATTATGCTGCCTGGCTATTCCATCAACTAAGGCAAAAATAAATCCACTAGTCACCATTCTCATTTTAACACAAGCAGCAAGATATTAGTGCAGTAGCTGGGGTTCAAAAGTTAATAATAAACCTGAATCAAGAATAATTTCAAAAGTACTCAAACAACAAAAAGCAGTGGAGAGTAAAAATTCTAAATACAGCAGGACGTTATCTGATTAAACACCCGTTGTCATTGTCCTCCACCAAACTGACCTGCAAACTGCTGATGTGAAGTCTAGGACCTCTATGGTGGGATTGAATTTGTACCAAAAGTTTGTGTGTCAGCATTTCCTCTCCTCTGTCTTTTTAAAATCCCACACCACAGAAGGGCATAGGGTAACACATTTTACTGCTAAATATGATCCGAGCCTGTTGGAATACTGCCCACTCAAAAGTGTCACCCTGGCAACTCACCCATGGCTTCTGCTTTCTAATAGGAATTCTCTCCAGACAACTTTCCTTTGGCAGAATCCACTGGGTAAGAGGGCAGTGTGAATGATTTTTCCAACTCTAAATACTTGCAAGTGGCAACCCCAAAGCTAACATAAATTCCATGCATTATTTTGTTTGCATAATGGTACTTGTACATGTTCATCTAGATGGAATATGAGTAGGAAGCAGCCACCCCCTTCCAATCCATCCTGCTCTTCTCCCCTGGTAAGACAGTTCAGAAGATACTGCCACCAAGGCAGGTGACAGTAGTGAAAACTGACCACCATCCCCCATTCCTTAGCTACCACATCTTGTGCTCACAGTCTGTAATAGTTTCCAAATTTGTTCACCCTTGCTTGTACCGTCCTGCCCAATGCATCCAAGCAACGCAGAAGGCAAACTTTTAGCATGTGCTAGACAGTGTCTCCCCACAGCTCTCATCCTTATCCATGACAGGCTCTTCCACTGCCAGTGTAATAAACAAAAATTGTCAAGGGTCTTCTGTTTTGGAGATATCAAATGTGTATGTGTTTATTCCACAGAGAATATGAGTGAGACAGAAAAAGAGACACGGAGTTACAGAGAGAAAAACAAAGAAAGAAAAATGCAAAGAGAAAGAGTCAAACAAGGAGAAATATTCCTTGTTCCCTGCACATGAGTGGAAGCTCCTTTTGTTCCTGGTAGCTTTCGGGATGAGTGAATCATGTTTTGGACACGCACTCCGATGACTTACAGCCCACTGGTTTCACAGCAGAGACTGACCATTCTGTGAATTTCAAGAACAATTCATTGTCTTCAAGACCACCTACAACTTGCATGCATATGCCATCATTCTAAGTTACACCAACTCAGCATTTCCACATATTCATTTTCTGTACATAAAATTCATAACAGAATGCAGCACAATTGACTGAATCAGAAATATCTTCTGCTTAAAAGTGGTGGTTTTAAAATCATTGATGAGTGCTTTTTTTAAAAAAAAAACTGGGATTTAAACATAGGTGGTTTGATTCTAATCCTTCATTTTAGTGTTAGGACTACTATAGAGAAATAAAGAGTACCAAAACCAAAATCCATGCTTTTTTAATGTTTGAAAATAATAAAACATTAATTGGAGCCTCAAGTATTAAAGAAAAATCTGTTTGTTTAATCTAGTGTGACTAACCAAAGCAACTATCACCAGTGAGAACTGATTTAATTAATTCAACTCCCTATTTTAACACACAGAGATGACTCCACAGTTCAAAAAATATTTGGGATGAGAGGAAAAAATGATGCAGTGGAAAGGCCAGAGCAGGCTTCAAGAGACCAGGGCTCTGGTTCCAGCTTTCAGTATTAGATTTAATTTGGCTTCCAATTAATTTTCTCATGAATGAAAATGAAAGTGATAGATTAGCTCATCTTTAAATTTCCTGGAAGGATGGTAATAAAATGGACTAAAAAGTGTAAAACAGGAAGATTTTGTAATTTTCCAGAAAATCTTCAGGAAAAAAAAGTCAATTTGCCAATTAGGACCATAATAATCAAATAAAATTCACTCAGAGTCATGCTATTGTGTTGTATGAATTTAAGATTTTTACCCATGACATTCCCTCCAAGACAGCTCTGAGTAATGAATTTAAAAAGTCTAACTTGGGTGGATTTGCTCTCAAACAGTACAGCCTCTGTTGCAACAGACCCGCTCACCATGTGTCAGGGTGGCCCACTGGGAACACCCTGGGGTGGGGGGCTGACATCGCCCACTGAAGAATGCAAGAAAGACCCTGCTCAGTCTCCCATAAGCAATGTTTAAATACTGGGTAGGGCAATGGAACTGAGGAACTGAAAAGAAACCATGATTAATACAGAAAAAGAACTATACTTTGAAAAGAAAAGCACTTTCCCTAACGAATTTCTGTAGCTATTATGAAATTATAGTTTCATACTTTGGCACTGACTTCTAACTCTCCTAAATTTTAGGGTTTACATTGGTTTTAAAATACTGCTTTAAGTCCTCTTTTATCAAAAAGTCACCATATTTGTCCCTAGGAAACATCCTAATTCACTATGCCAAGAAAATAAGACGAGAAACTACATGTACAAATGAAATGGTTAATATTAGAGTTTTTTGTTTGTTCATTTGTCTGTTTATTTTTGAGAAAGGATCTCCCTATGTTGCCCAGGCTGATCTTGAAATCATGGGCTCACCATGAGGTGGGAGTGATCTTCCCACCCCAGCCTCCCCAGAAGTTAGGGACTTTAGGTTCCCAGGTAACAAATAACGTTAAACTAGAAACTAATAATGTAATGAGTTGTGTCTCAAGTGTAGGAATGAGTAATACTGAAGGCTTAAGTACAAAATCAAATTTACATTTTTAAAAGGATTTATAGTTATCACCTTCAAACTAGTAAGTCAATATATTCTAGACCTAATTTCTCCCCTTCCCTCTGCCTGATACAACTGCTTAATGGACATTTCTACCCAGATGTCCACTATATACCCCAAAGTCCTTCCTTCTCCAAGAATAAGTCTGCTTCCCTTCGGAATCCCTCTATGACATCATCATGCTCTCAGTCACCTAAGTCAGAACCCAAGAATCACACAATCCCCAAATCAGGGTATTCTAGCTCATTCATCCCCCACCCCCACCCTCCATGTTCCTTACTTCCTCTACCCAAATTCTACCCCTCCTACTATTCTCCTGATGATTACAAAACAAATCTCTCCCTCTTTCAATCATGCTCACCTCCACTTCATTCTCTGTGCTCATTCCAGAGTAAATGTGCCTAAAATGCACAGGACTCCCAGCCTAATGCCCCTCAATGCTTCAGGGTTTCCTACCCCCAGCTAACACACACTCACACCACACCTTATGATTCAACAACTCTGCACAACTTATTGCTCTGATTGTGGATTTCACATCCTTATCCCACTGCTCCTGCCTGCAGTGCTCTCCTCCTGATCTTTACCTGGCTAATTTCTGTTCATTTTTCAAGAGCCATTTCAGGGCCCATATTTTCCAGGAAGGCTGCTTTAATATGCTATCCTCCTGCACGAGGTTGCATTGGATGCCTTACCCACTCCTTAATGCATTCTCAATATCCTTGTGTCATACTGGAGTCGGTCACTTCTATTGATAGATTTGTCCCCTACATCTGACAGCTACCACTTGAAGGCAAGGACTTGCCACCTTTTCTTCCTAGAAGCCTAGCAAAGTTTACCAAACTGAACTGAAAATAATCTATGGGGGAAAATAAATTAGAGGATAGAAGAGTATTTAGGAGGATTATACATGTTTGGGAATAATAGCAATTGTTTTTCATACTTATGCAAATAATTCCCCATGGTTTAGAAAGTAATTTGATTTAAATTATGTTATTTGATCCTTAAAGCCATATTAGAAGTCAGGGTAAGGCAGATATGCTGATATAGTCTATAAGTACATAAGAATTTTCTTGGAAGAGAGAAATATTATTGATATTTTTAAAGGGATGTGTTTGTGCATTGCATATGTGTGTGTTCTCAAATATAATTCTTTCTAAGTCAAAGCTCCACTTCAAATTGATTGACTTTCTTCATAACTACTATATTTTTCTCAAAAGGAAAATTATCAATTATTTATAGAGAATTTTCAACAACTTGTTTCTCTACTCACTCTTTAAGGAAGTGAACTTTGGAAAATAGACAGCTGATTCAGACTTCTAAAACCAAAGAGAGAACGAGTCCCCTCTTACCTTCAGAAGATCCACTGGGCCAAGAGCCTCCCAGAAGTTTCCCCGTTTTCCGAAGCCGTTCTGTTCCCAGGATGATGCCAACAGCTGAGAGCAGCTTCAGCAAATAGGGGTAAAGAGTGCCAAGGAAGAAAATCACAAAGATTCCTAAAAAGGAAACACACACACAACAATGTAAATTGGTTTTGTTTGGTTAATTCTCTTAAGCTGAAATTTCATTTTGCTATTCTACTAAAACCAACAAGGGGAACTTAATACAAATGAAATTCACAATTAATTTAACCAAGCATTATTGTACTTAAGAACATCTGTATATCTTAAGACACTTTAAGTGATTCAAGGGCAAAAGGTAATGAAAAATGGTAACATATTTCCAGTTACATTTCAGAGAGGGAGAGAAGTCTGAATTACCCCTAAATAGCAGGAAACAACTATGTGCACAAAAGAGAGAGAGAGAGAGAGAGAGAGAGAGAGAGAGAGAGAGAGAGAGAGAGAGAGAGAGAAGGCACTGATCTTATTCGACTCTGATACTTTACTTCATGGGAATACAGCGTGTTTTACAATCACATCAACACACAGGCTGCGTCTGGGAAGAATTTAATACAGGCTGAAAAGAACAAACAATGAAGAACTTAGTATTTGATCAAGGTTGACGATGTCAGAGAGGAACTCAGCAATGCAATTACATTTTAGAGGTGGCTTTGAAGGCGGTGAGAAAAGAAGGCATCTGGGAATAAAGGAGTTGCTGAACACACAATTGTAAGAAGAAGAAGAAAAAAGCACAAGGTGAAGGTAGAACTTTGCAGAATGAAACCTTAATTAAATGGAAGCCAACAAACAGAAGTGCTTGAATAGAGTGTTTATTTAATACCTCACTTTTATGAGAAAGGGTAAAATTCACAGAGAGGATTGTTCAGAAAGCTTCTGCTACACCAGAATTTAAGATTAAGTTGCAGTAAGAAGAGCAGAAGCTGAGAGTTCTAGACCTGCCCCTCCACTGACAGTATGACCTTGGGCCTGCTAAATGCTCCCAACCTTGCCTGTGCATTAGCATCCCCAGGAGAGCTTTTAAGAAACATCCACTTCGGGACTTCATCCAGGCCAAATAAGTCCCTGAGGGTAGGATGGCATCCGAGCATCAATAGTTTTTCAAAAGAAAGTCAGAGAAAATGTTCTTTGATGACCCCTATAACCTCTGTCTTTTCTACATTTTAGTACCTGATAACTCATTTGTTGTAAAATAGATACCTTTAAATTAATAGTGTCCAAAAGTTTAAAGATTTATAAAATTGATTCCCAAGTTTTAAGAGGCAGGAACTGAGGGTGAAGAGGGATATTGACATATCCAAATTAAATAGTCACACCAGGATGGAGTCCAGTCTGGGGAGAACAAAGCCAGATGGTAAGCTGGGGCCAGACACAACTCTGTTCCAGGCTGGGATTGGTAAGAGCAGAAGACAGAGCCATGCCACTGTCCAGGGACTGCAGATGCAGTCCATCCCTTAAGGATGTAAGTACCAGGCTGCAATGAATGCCTTACCAATTCCTTAATGCACTCTCAATATACTTGTATCATACTGGAGTTGGAGTAAAAATAATCCTAGAAGCTAAGTTATTGAACATTTTATATGAGCTAAATGGTGGGTCAGGAATATCCTTGAAAGAACTCTGAGGCATAAGTATTGTCATCTGCCTTTTATAAATTATGAAACTGAGGCCAAATGAGATTACTTTTGTCTCAAAAATGGTCACTCTAGAATTATAAGAAAGCCAGTATCCCCTGACCAGGCCACTGCCTTATGGCAACACCATTGCCAGGCAGGCTGGAAGCAAGGCCACTCTGCCCTGCTGCCTATTTGTCTTTATTATGTCAACATATTCTTAAGTTGAAAAGTGAAAACGGAAGCATCTTAGTTCTCCCTGGTGCTTTAAGATTTCGTCAGAGCAAATAATTTCTGTTACTTGACAGAAGGTTAACGTTTTATGGAATGATTTTTATTCTCCATTACATATGCACTTCCAAATTAGCAGAGGTTCAATGTGGAGATTTAATTATACTGTATTGGAGAACTTTATTCTCAGACAACTATCAAAAGAGTCCTCACTGAAATCTGCTCTAAATGACTCAGTCTATCTGACATTTGAGTTTAAATGAGTAACTGAAATCTCTGGAACATCATTTACAATATGGGAAAAAATTTCCAAACATGCACACACTCCTCTTCAATCATCTTAAAGAAGTATTCATGTTGCAGTTTGCTGCTCCATTACATTCACATTATGGAAGTTATTTCTTTTCTTTAAATAGCATTGTTATTGACTGTAATAAGATCTAATTTACAAATATTTCACATTTGAAATACATTTTATTTAAGAAGCTAATGCAAAAGCATTACTGTTTCTGACATCTTAGGCATATCCTAATTACACTGAGTCAGAATTATCTTCATGGCTCATTTTAAGAATAATGTAAAAAAATAATAATGTAAAAATATGGCTTTCATTAGACACCTCTGGGAAGAAATGCAACAATAATGATAAAAATTAAAATTCAATTTGCAGAGGTGGAAGGAGCCTGGAAGGTCACTGAATCCAACCATCTATCTGCCTAATGCCCACTCTGTGTTTAGGGAATTCTTGTACCTGTCACTGATTCCAATTCTGGCCCAAGAAGACACATCCAGATTTGCATTTAATGCAAATGTCCCCAACCATAGCACACAATTCAGAAACACAGGGACAAGCTGTGTTTTAGCAGAGGAGGCCAATGATTGGGTCAGGAGTTAGCACTTTGGAGGCTGGTGGAGGACCCATATGCCAAGTCAATCAAACTAGCTTTGGAGGGATTTGGATAGGATATTGGGAGTCATGGGAGGATCTACTGAAAAGGCAGAGATAATCAGAAAATTAAGAAGAGAGACCATGATGGGAATAGTCAGTCTCTGAGGTTACCTTGGATCCTGACAACTTTCTACTTTTCAGATCCAAACAAGGGAACTGTGTGGTAAGTCCTGAGGGTATCCCACATACATCTCCCTGATGATTAAAATTTCCCTTATCTCGTTATAGGTTAGAATCAAGTGAAGACTTTATTTCACCCCACTAATATTTCACCTTCTTAGTTTTGGGGTCTATTATTGCAATCTGCCAAAAAATTTTAATTTCTCAATTCTGCCCTTACGAAATATTTGTTATGTCCACATCATCTAAAAAATCAAACAAGCACAACATCTAGAATAACATTCATGCTAGTGGTATAAAAGTGATGAAAACCAAAGTGTTAATAAATAAAAATAAACATTTTAGTGTCTTGGTTGTTACTGAAAATTAATAATTACCAATATTCCAAATTAATTGTAAATCATCCTGATGATACAAAAAGCTATATAAACTGGCATGACTGAACAATTCAATTGATAAAGGTTTCAACACAGGCTGGTTAAAGACTGCAAAACCAAAAAAAAAAAAAATCAGGCTTTAGTGGCAATAGAGAAAATGAGACCATAGTTGAGATAATTGGCAACATGAACTTTGTAGTCACAGTAATTACCTGTGCAGCAGACCAAGAAGTTATGTTTGAGAAACATATTGCAAAAGCAGAGCCAAGTTCGCTTCAACCTTCCCTGAGGCAATCATGAAAATTATTATAATCTGTCATTTTAGGTCATCTGGTATAGCCCTGCCAAAGTGAAATTGTTTTCCAAAAAAGAGCTCAACTGCTTGTCTAATTTAGCTTTTAGTAAGTCTCATGGAATCTCTCATTACGGTAAAAAGACCTATACCGAAGGACTTTTTAAGTTCTTATGTCTGCTTTTCTTAGTTTTTCTGTCTCTATCATTACTGTCAGGTTGTCAAGCTGCACATTCTCAGGTGGTCAGTGTCTCTTCCCAGAGAAACCCAACCTATCCTCATTGCTCTAACTGGAAACTCTTCATCCTCCCATGGCTGATTGTATGGCAAAGTAAAACTGAAAAGCTTCAAGAAGGCCTCATAGGCCAGTCTATAAGGAAAGTACACAAGAAAATAAGTTTATTCATGGATTTCATGGCTTCTCTGTTGACCATGCAGACGCCCCCTTGGTTTGCTTCTTTTTCTTACTTATGTTGAATTATCAAACTGTTCATTAAACAATTGCTGTTGCACACCCACTAAGGGTAAGGTGCTGCAAGCAATATGAAGTGCAAAGTCAACTAAGAATCAGCAACTTCTGATCAAAAAAAAAAAAACAGAAATAAAAGATAATAATACCTTTGTGTTCTGTGGCATTTTGAAATTTATTTTTCACAGAGTTAATTCCATTTTATACTGAAAAATAAGTTTCAGTAAATTCTCAATGACTTGTCATAGCCAGTAAGTGGCAGGAAGTAAGTCAGGACTCCAGATGTTTTGTTGATTCTTAGTCTACATTACTTACACTAATTCTTAAGTTCATCCATTGCTTATGCAGGTACAATGACTCCATAGCAACATATTGAGTGCTTACTCCATTCCTGTACTGTTGTATCCAAATAGCATGTCTTTGATCCTCCTAACAACTTTATGAAGTAGGTAGTTTTATTATCCCCATCTAATAGACAAGAAAACTGAAGCACAGAAATTGGACTAATGGCCCAAGGTTGTATGACTAGTAGAGGCAGAAAGTGATAAACCCCATGAGATCTATGCCACCCAGAAGAAATGTAGAGGAAGTTGCTGGATCTGTTGCTAGGAAGAAGGCTAAGCAAGTTTTGGAACGTTCTCTGGCATTTCCAGAACAGTGAGACTTTTCTTCTCTTGTAAATCCTGTGAGAAGACATTGGCAACAGAGATGAGAAAAGATGGCAATTCCAAGAAAAGAAGGAAATGCAGTTTTTCCCTTTCCCCTCTGCTATGGCTATGGATGTGTGGGTGACTTGGCAGCAGAGAGAGTTTGCAGCATATGAATACCATCTGCTGCTTTAACACTTGCTACATATATTTTCTGTTATTTTAAAATCTCTGGACAGATCACACTGGTTGGCATGGTCTTGCATTTGTAGGTTATGATTTGAAAGGGAATGCCCCAGAGGCTCATGAAGTGCAGTGCTTTGGCAGTTTGCTGGACACCAATTTGCGTTGCATAAATTCACAGACTGCTTGGGCACTCACACACGTCAGTCAGCTTCCTT